ATTCTTGATTTCAGATAAGCATTTTTCACTTGGCTCCTTTCAGATTTATTATATTATTTTTAAAAGTTAAGAAGAGAAGCTGTTTTGTTATAAGCAATCATTTTTTTTTATAATGTCTTACTTCATATTAACAATTGAATCGGAAAACTGATCAGAAGTTGCTTCTTGGTGGATTTGAAACTGATCGTAATATTATGTAGAATTATAGTTGGTTAATTAATTCAACAAAAAAAATTTTACTGATGTAATTTTCGTGTTAAATTCATAAGCTTTAATTATTGTAGATCGTGAAATATCTTGTAGTTGTATAAATGTGTGTAGAGCAATTAAAGTATAGTACCAGGTTAGTGTCAACAGTGCCTGAGATTGATGATTCTTCTGGCATTTTTTCTAGTTTCTTATGATAGGATGATAGAGGCTTAAATACACCAACTTAACAACAACTGTACAATTGTAACATACTTTATGCTTATTTATATTTCTAACAAAGTATCGTGAGATTAATTATCAGTAAATGACTGACTTTGGTATTAACTTGTCAAAATATTGAAAGTTATTTCTTGGAAATTTACCTGTTTTATAGTATTCATTTCTTCCTTAATGGACTTAATTGCTGAATCGGTATGTAAATTGGAAATATCAGCATTTTTACTTTTAAGCCTCTTATCAGCGACAGAAGTTTCGCCACCTGCACTAATATCCTGTAATAGAATAAATACTATTAATAGCGAAATCGATGTAATCGATTATAGATAGTTTACGTAATTAATCCATCATTGACTATATTTATGTAAGATAAGCACTCTTTACCGAAGATAATGATTAAATTATTTTACCTTATCTAGTACTCCTTCTGAAGCCTTAACAAACTGCTTTAGCGGTTGTATTCCTTCTTCAGCTATTGTTTCATTCTAATATTTTGTTAATTTTAAATGCAAGCTAGGTATTAAAAATATACTAACATCTTAATTATAGTGCTAGATGTTTTTTTAGTATGTTATTATTTATTACTACATTTAACTTCACATACGCTTTAAGTATAATACCACGAATATATTTAAAAAGCTAATACAAATTAGCTCAAGTATATAACCTACAAGTAATTTCTTATTTGAATTCTATGCTACTTT